TTGTCGTTGAAGAGGTAGAGGTATCGATATCAAGTCTGTGGGTTATGCATCTTCGAAGTTTAACAGAGTTGGATAGACACAACGTTGTTATCTTTCACATGTCTCTATATAACTTTTTATTTTGACACGTCTCTGTGCTACCTACCATTGTTGTGTCTTTTTCGTTAAAGTGAAAATAACGTACACTTGAGAACGAAAAAAAATTTCATCTACTTAGATTCCATTAAAAGTACTATGCATACCAAAAGTGTGATTTGTTAACAGCTAAAAGTTTTCTAAATCATACCTATCATAGTTTGATACACGGCAGCTTTAGTTTCTTTGCAAAGATAAGAAAAATATACGTGCTCATTTTGGTTACCAAGGGTTTCGAATGTCATTGTAACTTCGATCTCGTTACCGTATTGAGCGCATCGTTCTGTAGAGTATCATGGCCACCGGAAACAACTTGCTCGATAATACAAATCTGATACGAGGCCAATACGACGATGTGCCGGATTTTAAACAAAAAATTATCCGAATCTTCATCAGTTCAACTTTCACTGGTGAGAGAGTTGTCTTAATAAAAATTCTTTTTTCATATAAGACCGTTACTTTCAGATACAATGACCGAACGTGATTCGCTGATTGAAAATGTTTATCCAAAACTGAAGGACTATTGTTCTAGAGAATATGGTCTTGAATTTCAAGTACGTTTTTTTATTGACTTCAAAGAAAACATAACTGACAAATTACAACATTTAAGTTTTCTGATATGAGATGGGGCATTCCAGATGAGTCGATGGATAATCATAGGGCAGAAGAAATATGCCTTAATGAAGTTGATGCTTGTAAAAAATATTCAATAGCTACAAACTTCATTGTATGTTAAACAAATGGTTATTTTGAGTCACTGCCGTAGTTTTTCCGTTTGTTTTTTCATTTAGCTTTTATTAAGTCACCGTTATGGTACGTGTTTTCTTCCTTCGAAAATTGATTCGAAAGTTTTTGATATCCTTTCTGAAACTATCGCAACAAACAATATAACCGTCAGCCATCAAGATGCCTATGGAACTAATTACCAGAATGTGCTAGAAAGGTGGTACCGCAAGGATACTAACTGTATTCCATCTTTGTACATTTTACAAAGAATCAGTTCGATGTATCCAGATTTTCTATCGAAAGTAAGTTGAACGTTTCTGACCTAATTCATACTTTGTACTTCTTTTGTGAATCGGCAAGAAGAGTACCGTTTAGCGCTTCCACAAAATTTTCCGTTTACAGGATGTATAAGCATGAATAGCAAATGTCTCTTGGAAGGAATAGCCTTGGCTTTTAAATTTGTACGATGATGAAATCTATGAAGTCGCGAAAGGATCTGGTACAAAGAACCGATTTCCTATTTTGGTGGTTTCCGTAAATTCTTTTATAAAAATTTGTTAGCTGCGTTTTTAGAAGAAAGGTTGAAGTCAGACTTCCTGCACAAAGTTCCATCCGACTCTATGAATCTCACTTAAACGTACATTATCACCTCCTATTCAACATAATCCATTAAAATCAGCGTTCTTCAACATTTTTGTATGGTATTCATTAGTTATCTAGAGTATCCTCGAGCAGCTCGCTCTACTTTTCAAAATTGAACATATATGTAACTGTAACAAACCTTTTTTCATAGGAGGTGATGAAACTTAAAATAGCAAAAACTGAATGGTGGGCCGTCAGTCAAAAAATTCATACTACATTGAAAGAAGCTGCCCATATAGCTCATTTAAATGGCAAAATCTCTGAAGAAGACCGTAATACATTCTACACTTCAGGTTTGTTTTTTTTAGCCGTACTTCACAACGAAAATACCATGAGATTATGACTTCCTTTTTAGTGACAGAGAAGGAGATCATTAAAGGTATTTTGTCAGCAGAGGATGCTAATGAACGCACACTGTGTTTCATCCGTGAAGTGACAGACATTCATCAAAATTTAACGGATAAAAAAGCTTCTGACTATATTAATATGATAAACAATTTTCAAGACGTTGACATTGACGCCGAAAAATCATTGAAGAGGTTAATCAACGATCAAATTCCGTTAGCATTAAACGCTTCCAATATCATTAGAAGTAGCCCGGTAATTCAGCTTCGTCATTTGTATTTCTTTTTAAGTATTTTTCTTTGTTAGATAAAATGGGCTGCGGGTGGTATAACGCGTCTGAGTCACAGCGATTATATTAAAGAATTTGATGAACAATTCTTTTCTGTGGTACAAAAACAAATTGATGCATGTCTTCGAAAGCGCCGTGATATAACTGACCGTTTGTATAGTGAAGTTTTAGCACATGCAATACGATGTAAGAACATAGTAGATAAATTTCATGGTAGAGGTGATATTTTAGCGAAGGTAATTCTAGTGAATTTGAGTATAGGAGTGTTGAAGTTATCCGGACATTTCAGTCCTAAAAAACTGTTTACTTACTGTTAAGGCCCCCGGAAACACTTTTGGGTTGAAGCTGACAGAGCCGGATTTTTGATATTTTTCTTTTCAAATTAATGTTCAGGGTTAAAAGTTCAAAATTCGAAAAGTCACATTAACTTCGGTAAAGATGTTTTCCCAATCATAAATCTAGACCAAATATGAAAAATCAGGCTCTGTCAGTCGCTAGCCGTATGTGTAAGCTTCAATTTAAGACCTTCCCGAGCTCTCTACGATGTTTCGTTATCGAGAAATCTGGGAGTGACGAAATGGTGTTAAGGTGAAAGTCGCTTTCGAGATATGGTGGCGCCAGTATCTGATGGAAGTTTTAGGGCTTTCCGTAAAACTCTCATAACTCTTGATCAGAACATCATTCAGAGCTGGGAATATCTTTTTCTATTCAGAAATGTTTGCTCTATCTTCTAGTATTAGTAAAAGTAGTTTTCGATTTGGGTTGTAATCAGAAAGTAAAAGTTTTTCGAAATCCAGCTTTTGGAGGTTTTCAGAAAACTTTTCTAAAAGCCTCCATACCCCTTTGATGAGGACCAAATAACATTGGATTCTGATAGTAGATATTGGGAGCTATCTGATGATGTGCTTAGCTCAATATCGACTTTTTATAAAAAAATTTATGTTTCTGACGGGGAGAGGGGGGAGCGTGGCTGAATGACTGTACGCGACAAGCAGCGACGGTACACAGAAATTTGCCTCGCTACGCTATCGTTAAGTTCTTAGTTCATTGGCGTTTTTTTGTTGTCTGAGCTAAGAGTTTTTGTAGACCATTAGATAAAACTATGCATAGCACACTAATCGTCGTTTTTAGATGCTGGATTTTTGAAAAATTAATACCTGCTAGTTTAAGAAATCCTACGCGAGTGCTGTATGTCGTGATTTAAAAGAACCGTTTTCGACTCATTACATACCAGAACTATTCATTATATTGCAAAAGTTCTAAGCTTCCTTGAAAAACTATTTTTCGACTGTGTAAGATGCGCAACGACTTCGTGAAGTGATTTGAGGGAACTTTTGGTGTGCAATGGGGCCGAAGAATTATTGTCTCTTGGAAACTGCTCGTCACACAAATCCGTTACAGTTGTTACATGACTTCATTACACAGCTGCTTAGCGGCCGTTACACATGTATTATGTAACGTGCCAAATGTAGTAGAAGACGTTCTTATATACATTAGGTTCGTAAATACATAACAAACGAAAGTGACTATCGTCCCTGCATCATCTATGGCGACTCTGGGTGCGGTATGTATCTTTAATGTCTATTGACTGAAGCCGTATGAAGCGTTTTGCTTCATTGTTTTAGGTAAAACAAGCATAATTTCGAAATTGGCATACGAGGTGCGTTTTAGTTCATTTAGGGAGGTGTGATCTGCTATTACTATTTTAATAGTCAAGCGGCTTTTTCAGCAGTCCGGTACCTTTAACCCTCGACTTAGCACGAAACGTATTCATCGCCTTTCCTTCCTCCAGCAACGTCTAAAAGCGAAACTTATTTGCTCATGATACTCCCAACCTGTTTTGTTGTTTCAAAGGAAAGAATAGCTCTCGTGACACTCTGTTCACGTCTAATATACGCTCTAAAATGTATCTCCTTCACATACAATAGGTATTCAGCTGGTTACCAAATAAAAGAATATCTGTCATTGTACGGCTCTTTGGGTAAGTAATTGCTGGATGACGTTATGGCTAAAGTAGCGCAATGAGCCATATTCACATCCTGGTGAGGGCGCTCTGTCTTGGCCGTCAAACGGCTTGAAAGCTGGCCGTATAGAAGATATTTATATATGCGGCGCATGCACATGCTTTTCTCTTGTTCTTTCTCTATCGCAGGAAAAAGGATTTTTCTCTATTGTCACCGACAGAGCGCGAGATATATACGCATACCACATATATATATATATATATATATATACATAGAACAGAGAAAACGTGTTTTATATGTTCTTTATATAAACATGTTGAGTCCTCAAACGTGGTTGTTGGTCTTTGAAAAAAGATGGCTTCATAAACAAAATGTATAAAAATAGTCTTTCTAAAACTGTGTATGTATCTGTACTAAAACTATAACATATATGTATATAGATATATATATATGTGGTATGCGTATATGAGTGAATCGTATTTTAGTTGTACAATTTGTGGGAAAAAATGAAAGTAACTTTATCAAAAATCTGAGTAGACCAGATTGTTCCCTTTAATTTTCTGAGTACCAGGTAAAAATTTCCAAATTACCAAAGGTCTACCGACTGAGATAATAAAGGTGCAATATCCTAATGTATTAAATTAACGGTGACCCGTGATATTTACAAAATAACTTCTAATAGAAACAAGATAGAGACCTACAATTTACGCAGGACACCTCTAGACAGCATTATCTACTAGCTTAGGAGCAACTGGACGGGAAAAATTACCTGCAGGTGGTGTACCCGTTGGAAAAAAATTAGAACAATAAAAGGCGCGAAATATCTCAAAAATGACCCAAACTTTCGTGCGAAAAAGCTCTCAAAACCGAAAGATATTGATTTTGAGATTTTCCCAGGTTTTGTGAGGTTCAAACTCGAAAAACCTGATGTGTGAGGTTTCATTGTTTTCCCCCAAAAGATATCTGGTCGATTGATCCTCGAAAAAAGTCTAAAAATCACAACCGCAAAATGGCTTATTGGTAAATACTTCCAAAGCTATTGTTTTACGTAGTTCTGTTTGCTCTACTAGAAAGAGCGTGTTCGAAAAGCCATTAAAGTTTACTTTAATCAGTTCTACACAGCTATGAATAGGAAAAAAGTTCGAAACGAATCTCTCCCTACAAAAAAAGTCACCCTACATTTTGCGGCATAACGCGAAGTTTACTAGGAAGACATCAACTTTAAGTGCTGAAATTTTTACCACTCATACAACTTCCTACCTGCTTCTGGTTCTGAAAGTTTGAAACAGTTTAAATACAGTCTCATTGACTTATGGGCAAAGCA